AGAGGTGGTGTTCTCTGCCTTGGAGTGTACTAGCGTTTCCTTCTCTGGAAGTTTTTGTGTAGAGGATGGATGGTCATCTATTGGGAGTGATCCGATTGTGGCAGAAATGGGATGGCCCCTTGTGGTCTCTTCCAACTCTGTGGCTTTGATGCATGGCTAAAAATAGTAATTCTAAGTTCCTATTTAGAAATCACATCTCTGGGCATAGAATTGCATCTTTTACTCCAAGCCTATCAATGCACACAATGTAGTTTGGGGGATTCTGGGTGTTGCCATCCAAAAGTCGTATCTTGAATCCCTCCTTCAATTGCCCTGGGCAGAAGAAAGGGAGGAGCAGAGTTACCGGTATCTTATCAGGAATGCCGGAGATTAAGGTATCTGCTTTTGCAAGGTTTGAGATTGCCCCGAGGTTCCTTAGCTGGTCCTTTGCCTAAGTGATTAGTTGGGGACAGCTGCTCTTCAGGAAGTTGGATTTGAACCCGTGACCCGATCGGGATAATTCCCTGCACCTTGCCAAGGCCAGGCTTGGCTGGATGGGGAGATTTCTCTCCTGCGATGGCTTGTCCTTGGGCTACTTAGCCATGAATTAATGAGAGCCAGCTTGCTTTCTGCTTCCAGATAGGGCTCCTAATGGAGATCATCTGGAATCTGTTTGCTTGAGGCATATTTATATGATCTATCATTGCGCCTATATATATACATGCACACACATCATGTACCAGAACCGGGAGACATAAATCCTGGTGCCAGGAAGAGAAGAAGTGCTCTGGCGTTGAATGGCACGCTTTGCATGCAAATATTTGCAAAGGGAATTGGCTCGTGACGCCTGCTCCAGAGCAGAGAGAGTCTTTGGGGAGGAAAGGGGCGGAAGGGAGAAAAGGTGGTTTTGATTCAGGATTTAATACCCCTCCTTTCAAAATAAGAATAAGATTTCAACTCGCCCTCCCACCCAGGACCTTTCCCTTTCGTCTGCTAAACTCCCACCTCTCTTATTTTTTCTGCAATGAATAGAACTGTAGATGAAGGCATCTCTTTCTGCCTTTGAGTGCATCTACAATGTAGAATTAATGCAGTTTGGCACAATTTGAACTGCCATGGCTCAATGCTTGGAAGTGTAGTTGTCAAACAGTACTGGTGCCTCACCAAACTATAAATCCTAGGTTTCCATCATGGTGAATCATGGCAGTTCAAGTGGTGTCAAATGGCGTGAATTCTACAATATAGATCAGTGTTTCTCAACCTGGGGGTCGCGACCCC